CACTGTGATGGATGAGGGCACTGCCTGTCCCCTCCCCCGCACTGTGCGTGGATGAGGACACTGCCTGTCCCCTCTACAGCCTCCTAAATGCGAAGGGAGGCTCACGCAGCTCACCAGCCCTGAAGCAAATATCCCCCTGGTGTACCCAGGCAAGAGAAGTGGGGTTTTCTCTCCCAGGTCACCACCCCTCTCCACACCCACCTCTCCTGTCCAACAGGAATGAGTTAAAGTTTGAATGAGTGGAAAAGGAGAAAGATTGAAACCAGCTGTGCCTTGGGGGGCAGATGACGGTGTCCCGCCTCGTGTCTTTACCCTCAGGACTGTCCAGTGCAGGAAGGATGGCCAGGCCTGTTGGTGTGTGGGTGTCGACGGCAGGGAGGTGCCCGGCAGCAAACAGTCTGGGCGGCCGATGTCTTGTAAGTTGGGTGGGGTGATGGGGGTTGGGAGGCATGGAGGCGGGGTGTGAGATGGGATGGGAGCATGTGGCCAGGCAATTGTCCCCTCTGGCTGACTCTTCCTCTTTGAAGGAGAATGGTCCCCACATGCATGTCCCAGTTTCCCGCAGCCCTGCTGTGAAAATCAAAGAACACAGCCGATCTTATTTGTTCAGCAAATAGCTGTTGTGTCTGTCCACATGCCAGGAGCTGTGCCTGGGCTGACAGCCCCTCACCGTCCCAGAAGCTAGCAAGCAGCCCCACGGACGCAGTGTGTTCTCACCTGTGGCAGGAGGTGTTTCTGAAAATTGGGACTTCGGTGAAAATCATGCAGTTCAAATATTGTTCCACTGAGTAGTCAAAGAAGCAGAGTTCCATCTAAATCATGTCATGGTTAATCCTAAAAGAAAGGTTCCTTTAAGTCAGTCACCCTAAGATGGGGAGATTGGACCTGAAAGCAAAACTGTCATTTAATAGATAAACTGTCATTTAATAGATAAACACTCTGGCCTGAACTCTGAGCTGGGTCTGCACTTGACCTTGTCACACACCCCTTGTCGACTTTAGTTCTGCATCAGTACCATGAGGATAAGACCTGTCCCTTGGGGGCTCGTGAGGATTCAAGCACGTGTAGAAAACCATGCAGATGGGGTTGATAGGAGTCAGAATTGAGTCGGCAGTGACGGGTAGAAGACCACGGTTTCTGGTGGAACGTGGTTTTGATTGGCTGCCAACTGAGAGGTGCCATGGAGGAAAGCCCTAGGGATCCGCCTCCATACAGATTACAGCCAGGAAACCCTCTGGAGCTCTCAGCTGCACTCTGACATGGCTCACCGCGAGTCAACATGGAGTCGACAGTAGTGGGCTTGGTGTTCTCTCTAGTGGGGAGGGTTTAGAACACCGGCACGTAGCAGGGCTTCAGTAGGTAGCAATCACTGTTCATATCATGAATCCTCATACACTCAGCAGGAGGCAGTTTTCTTTTACTTTATAGATAAGGAAAGTGAGGCCCGGAGCATACAGGACTACACCCTCAGATTCAGCCAGGCCTCGTGCACCCCCATGCCTTTTCCATCCACGTCTCCTCTGCATGGTCATGGCCCTGGGATGCCCAGTTGACAAGGCAGCACTTCTGAGCTGGGAGATGGAAGGAGGGCTGGGTTAGAAGCTGGGCAGTCCAAACGCCAGTCCCCTGCCTACTGCCAGATCCCTGGGGTCCTCTGATGGCTCTGTCGAGGGACTGTGCGCTCTCGTGGGCTGAGACCCCTGATGCTTCCCTGCACTACCTGACACTCCTCTTTGCACTACAGGTCTGTCCTTCTGTCAGCTGCAGAGAAAGCAAATCTTGGAGAGCAGCTATGTCAACAGCACGGCCACATCCTACCTGCCCCAGTGTCAAGATTCAGGGGACTATGAGCCTGTCCAGTGTGACATATGGCAGCTGCATTGCTGGTGTGTGGATTTGGAGGGAATGGAGGTGTACGGGACCCGCCAGAGGGGCAGACCACTGAGCTGTAAGTGTGGCTGAGTTCCTGTGCCCAGAGAGGGTGGGGAGTGTCCAGATTTCAACCCAGAAACTGGAGCTTCCAGGCCTCACTGACCAAAGACAGAGCACCTGGTGCCGTGGAGAAGCTCTCAGCTGCCACCCGAAGTCGGCAGTGGAGCCCGCCTACCAGCCACTCTGTGAGAGAAAGTTGAGGCAGTCTGCTTCTCTCAGAGATTTACAGCCTCAGAAACCCTCTGGGGCACTTTAGTCTGGCCGATAGGGTTGCACCTTTGTTAAGAGTAATGATATTGTAGTAAAATACATGTAACAAAACAATTGCGATTCCAACTATTTTTAAATGCACAATTCTGTAGCATTAGTTATATTCACCATGATGTGCACCCATCACCACACCCTGTTTCCAAAAGCTTTCCATACCCCCTGCCCAACAGTTAACTCAGTGCCCCTTAAGCAATAACTACCCTCCCCTTGCTCCATCCAGTCTTTGGTAAATCAAAAAACCAAATCCACTGCCATTTAGTCAGTTCTGACTCCAAGTGACCCTTCAGGACAGAGTAGAACTGCCCCAGAGTAGAACTTAGGGTTTCTAAGGCTGTAACTCTTTATAGAAGCAGACTGCCTCATCTTCCATGGAGTGGCTGGTAGGTTTAAACCGCTGACCTTTTGGTTAGCAGCCGAATGCTTTAATCACTATACCATCAGAGCTCCTCAGTCTTTGATAACCACTAATAAATGTTTGTGCTTATGCATTTGCCTATCCTAGATGGTTCATGTTAGTAGGATTGTGTGGTATTGCTCCTTTTGTGTCTAACTTACTTCACTCAATATCAAGTTTGCAAAGGTCATAGACCAGAACTTCATCCTGAATACTATCCATTGAATGGATAGACCACAATTTGTGTATCACTTCATCTGCTGGGGACACTTGGGTGTCTCCCCTGGCTATTATGACTAATGTTCCAGTGACTGCTGCTGGTCACATGTTACCCGTTTGAGTCCCTGCTTTCAAATCTATTGGGGATATACCTAGGGGTGGAATTGCTGGATCACATGGTAGTTCTGTATTTGACTTTTTGAGGAACTGCCAAACTGCTTGAAAGGGAAGCCATTTTGGTTGGCTTTATTACTACTTCTATTTCCATAAGGTAGATGATCAGCATTCATTAGCTGGTCAAAGGGAAGCCATTTTGGTTGGCTTTATTACTACTTCTATTTCCATAAGGTAGATAGATAATCAGCATTCATTAGCTGGTCATTAGAAGTGTAAGCAGGGTTTCACTGGATTGTTACAAGTTCCCCACTGCAAACTCAGTCCCCGTCTGGATCTTTCACTGTAGCAGGCTTCGTATGCCTGCACGCATATTGACTGCAGAATATGCACCCACTCATGACACGAATGTCATACTTTTTCACTGAAAATGTTTAGGTCCCAGAAGCTGTGAGATAAGAAACCGCCGTATTCTCCATGGGGTGGGGGACAAGTCACCCCCACAGTGTTCTGCGGAGGGAGAGTTCATGCCCGTCCAGTGCAAGTTTGTCAACACCACAGACATGATGGTTTTTGATTTGGTCCAGAGCTACAACAGGTAAGGAGAACTGGCCAGCCTCCAGGGCTGGCCCATCATTGGGCCCTCCTACCCCCGTCTTCTGCCAAGGCACCTGCTCACACAGGGTGCTGGGGCTTCAGTGGTGATAAATTTGGTCCCTGAAGAATGGAGATGCTGATGCTGGCCATCTGATGTGGTACAGCCCCTGTCACTGAGCAACCTGGTGGTGGCTATGAACATGTACATGCCCCCCAGACCCTCCATCCCATGGGAATAAAAACAGAAGCCAGACAAAGACACTAGACATGCATGTCCACTTCATCATGTTGCATTGTAGCAAAAGCTGGGAACAAATGATTTTCAAAAGGTGGATGACTGAATAGATATATATCCACCATAAATATTTATACAGCCATTAAAGAATGCAGTAGACATGGAGTAGTTGACTTGGAGAGAATTCCATGATACATTGTGGTGGTAGGATAGAAAGGCAAGAGACAGATACTATGATTTGGTTCCATTTTGTATAAACAAGCAAGCAAGGAGCCTTTGTATGTGCATGTATGGCTCACTGGTACTAGTCACTGTGCTGGACAATCAGATCACCATATATGCATGTATAAAGGATGCACAGGAGTGGGGAAGAGGGGATACACAGAAAGGAAGTTGCTGGGTGGTGCAGCTGGTTAATGTGCTCGGCTGCTAACCAGGGGTTGGAGGTTCCAGTCTCCCCAGAGGCACCCTGGACCATAGGCTTGGTGATCTACTCTGAACAATCAGCCATTGGAAGCACGGTGGAGTGCAGGTCTGCTCTGACACACACAGGACCATCACGATGAGTTGAGTTGACTCGATGGCAACTGGTTGGTTATAAAAAGCAGGAGTAGAATCATACATTTTTTCAAATGATGAGATTTTTTCATTGAATCAAGAAGAGCCCAAGCAATATTTGACTGTAAGACACATGTATAGCAGACTTTTATTAGTGGAAATATGGTAGATTAGGAGCTCTGGTAGCATAGTGCCTAAAGGCACTTGACTGCTAACCAAAAGGCTGGCGGTTCAAACCCACCAGCCACTCCTCGGAAGGAAGATGGGGCACATAAAAACAACAAGAACAGATACGCTGAATAATACATCTGGTACAAGCAACCACAAAAGTTGGATGAGATAGAAAAGCAGATTATGAAATATGTTGCCCAGCTGTCAACAATGGAAAGAATTTCCAGAAAAGTGGAACTTTTGGAAGGAGAGTCACATTTACCTATTTTGTAAACTATTATAAATAAATAAATCATTGAAAAGATTGAAATAATAAATATAAAAAGGGAGATGCATTGTAAAGGTCAGCCAATAACCAGGAAACTTCTAGTTATCCAAATGGCTACCTGGTTATTTTAAAGGACACACCCAAACTTGAGATGTAATTAAAAGGTTCTGAGTAAAAACAGTAAGAATACCCATCTGTGAACACAGATGTGAGTTCCCATGGATAACCTGAGCCTTTGTGGGGCTAGCTTCTGAAACAACCGGTGTCTTTCCCTATGTGAGAGGGAAATCGCCAGGGCATGCCAGGAGGTGCCACAGACTAGCAGCATGTGGGTAGGACTGCCCCACCTGCATGATTTAGACTGCATCTTGTCTTAAAAGCTGGGATATTTGAGGAAGTTGAACACTATGGAATTTCTGGTCCTATGGGTCAAAAATTGTTGAATCATAGTATCCGTCTCTTGCATTTTTATCCTAACACCTTTTATCCTAACCAGTGTATTATGGATTTCTCTCCAAGTCTACTCCATGTCTATTGCATTCTTTTAGTGGCTGTATAAATATTTATGGTGGCTATGTATTTATTCAGCCATCCACCTTTTAATGATGTGGTATGTTCAACTCAATGCACAAAATTCTGAATTCCTGATTTTAAAGAATAAGGTTGAAGGGCTGGGTGCCTTCTCCATGGCACCACGAAGCTGGACTTGAATGGCCTCTGCCCTTTCTGGACTGAGCATAACTCCTCAACCCCCCATGTTCTGGTTCCCAGCATGTCCTATTCCATCCTCCTGCCTGCCTCTCCCATTTTCTCACCTGCCTGGCCCTGTAGCATTACCTCCACGACCCATAATCAGACTCAGTGATGCTTGGCACAGTGACCTGGGTGACTTACCCACCCTCTCTGACCCTCAGGGTCGCCATCTGTAAAGTGGAGGATGATTCCCTGCTTATCAGATCGTGGGAATATCTGGTGAGACCTCACCTAGGAAACCACTGTGAAAATTGTGAATTATGATGCCGTAATGCAGGAAACTCACGTATCTCCCAGTGTCAGAGAACGCAGGTTAGATTTTTCCAGATCTAGAGAATGGCCTATGAGCGCACATGAATTTCCAGATAACCTCATGGATGTGCACTGATGCCTCAGTTCAAGTTCAGACAGGTGCTTCCTATCCACAGGGGACATTATTACATCCTTCTACCTGGTTTGACACTCACAAAAGCAACTCAATAATTAGGGTTTCCAGTAGACAAACACGGACTCCGAAACAGGGTGGTTAAGGAGCTCACCCTAGGAAACAGCTAGGGTGGTTTGGCAAAGTAGAAGATCAGAAAAAATAGGGAAACCCTAGTGAAACTGATGGTGTGAGTGGCTCCTAGTGGGTGATAGAGCTTGCTGGCCTTTTTTACTGTCCCACACTACCTCTGTTTATCTCAGGTCCCCTACAGTACACAACACAGAGGTTGCACACAGTAGGCCTACAGTCAGTGCTCACTGAATAGGTGAATGCATGCATGTAAGAACTTCTTGGCGGTTGACATGTCGAGGAACAATTACTGCTAGTTCCACAAGAGGGCAGTCAAGTTAAACCCAAAGGTTCTGGACTGAGCATCCATTGTTTAAAACAAACAGAAAAATTTCCCCTGAAATGGAATCCTTTCTTTTTTGCAAGCAAGAATGTCTCAGAGCAAATTCTGGTTTAGGAAGGTCATGGGAAGGGTCAGGTGGTTGGTTACTGGCAGCCTAGCTATAATCAGGAAGTCTACTGGGAGCCAAGGAGCCTGAGGATGCCATGTGCAGGGTTTATGCTTAGTCTCGTACCAGCAGTACATAGAGTCCCCAGACAAGACAGAGGATGCCCGTTACATTTGAATGTAAAAAACTGAATCCTTCTTAGTAGAAGTGTGTCTCCAGTATTGTATCAAGAGCTGCAGGCCTGGAGTGAGTGTAGGTAGATGTTAGTAACCTGCAGAGCTGGATGTCAAGGAGCATGGATTTGTGGTTACTGGTCGCTGTCGAGCTGGCTCTGACTCATGGTGACCTTATGTGTGATAGGATGAAACGTTGTCGGTCCTGCATCATCTTCATTATCGTTGGCATGTTTGAGCTCATTGTTGACTCTGTGTCAGTCTCTCTCACTGGGGGTTCTCCTCATTTTCACTGACCTTCTACCAAACATAATTTCCTTTTCTAGTCACTGGTCTTTCCTGATGACGTGTTCAAAGCAAATGAGCTGAAGTCTTGCCATCCTTGCTTCTAAAGACCCTTCTGGTTGTATTTCTTTGTTCTTCTGGTAGCCTATGATACATTTAGTATTCTTGGCCAGCACCTGTTGCTGGTGAGAGGGTGGATAGGAGTGGAGAAAGAGCAGAGTTGGTGCTGGGAGGCGACTCTATTAGGCTATTGCACTAGTCCTGGTGAGAGACGATGTTGACTTGGGTGGGTGAAGGAGAGAAGAGTGGAGGGGTGAGGCAGAGTTGGAGAAATATTTAGGAGGCAGAATCCACAGCCCTTGGTGAAGGGATAGAGTGTGAGGGCGAGGAGGCATCAAGGATGCCCCCTAGGTTTCGTTTTTAAGTGGATGGTAGAGGATGAGTTTGGAAAGGAAAGACCATAAATTTGGTTTTGGAATATTGACTCTGAGGGAATTGTTTTTGGAAATTGAAGGTGGGAAGTGGAGTAGATGGTTATCTTCCTTTCATGGTGCCATGGGAAGGCTAGAAGGCTTTAGGCAGCTCCTATGCCAGCCTGCTGTGGGCTCCTAATATGCTGAGTGAGGCTTTGCACTTGAATATAATATGCTTTGCCAGAGTGTTTGCTCATCTGAAGTAGGTCCTTTTGCCTCTTGAAGAAGGTGACTGCTAACTACACCTGTTTTGCTGGAGGCTTTAATAAGCCATGTCTTGATGGCAAGTCAGCTTCCTTAGTTCTGCTAAGCAGATAATACATAAAGATTCTAAGAGCATGGCACCCTCACCATCTGGCCAGCTGTTGTCCTTGGCAGAGAACTGGGTACTTGATCTCTGGTTCTAGCTGGCTGAACTTGAACTAATAAGTTCACCATGCTGAATCCCAGTTTTTGCATCTGTGCAATGGAGATTTTAAAAGGTTGTTGTGATCTTTAAATGAGATAAATTATGGAGAGTACTTTGTGCTGTGTCTGGTCATTCAATAAATGCTACCTGCTGTTATCTTTATTAGTAGTAACAATGTTGTTATTACTATTTTTTATTATTAATATCACTAATCATATGTGGCTAGACCAGGACTGGAATTCTGTCTGGTCTAGGTCTTTAGATCTTCTCACTACAAACAGAATTGCCAAGGAGGGATTAAAGATGACAGTGCTGGGGGTCTCTTCCAGAGTGAGCAGAGGGCAGTCCCACAGAGTCCCGGTGGCAGTAGCTGGCCTTTGGGTGGTCTTCCTGGGAGGATGGGAGGAGGCCTTCCTCCAGTGGAAGCAGGGTGATGTCTAAGATGCAGGAAGAAGGGACACTGAGAGTGAGGCCTCCGCAGAAAGCACTGGTAGCCCATGTACTAGAAATAAGAGCAGAAACCCAGAGAAGGGAACCCTGGCCATGAGGTGGGGATGGAGAAGGCTCACGGGCCCCGGTGGTTGTGTCTGCTCTGGGCTGGGACTGTGAGGTGGGCCTTTGGGATGAATTGCCAGAACATGATGCCAGACTGGTTTAAACTTCCTGTACCACATGCTAAGGAGAGCTGGTAGAGTAGTGGTTAAGTTCATGACTGGTAACTGTAAGTTCAGCAGTTCAAATCTACCAGCTGCTGTGGAAGAAAGATGAGGCAGTCTGCTTCTGTAAAGATTACAGTCTTGGAAGCCCTGTGAAGCAGTTCTACTCTGTCCTCTAGGGGGGCTGTGAGTTAGAATCGACTCCACAGCAGTGGGTTTGGTTTGAGCTTTGCTTTTGTAAAGGTGATAGCTTTGGAAATCCTTTGGGACAGTTCTTCTCTGTCCTTTAGGGGCACTGTGAGTTGCAATCAGCTCCACAGCAGTGGGTTTGGTTTGGGCTTTGCTTCCTTAATGATTGACAGCCTTGGAAACCTTTTGGGGGCAGTTCTACTCTGTCCTCTGGGGCGCTGTGGGTCCGAACGGACTGGATGGCCGTGGATGCTGCATGCTAGGATGGCCTTCAGAACCTCAGAGGGGTCAGGTGCCCCATCAATGCATTCATCCAGCGTGAGTGTCTTCAACATCTATCATCTGCCAGGAAAAAGCTAGGTGTTTGGCATACAGAGAAGAATGTCAAAACAGGGTCACCTGCATTGGAGAATACGCAGCTCGTACCTTCAGCAGAGGCAGATATCACATGGTGAGCAAGACTGGGTTTGAACCCTAGCTTCCACCAGGAGTTCAATGTACTCCACCTCCTTGGTCTTTAAAATGGGGATGATAGTATTACTACCTACTTCTTAGGGGTTTTAGGTCAGTGGAATAAATCAATGGATGTTGATATTTTCCAGATTATCTTTTACAAAGTGTTTTCAACAAATGGAAGCTATTATTATAATATTATTATCACTTGTAGAATTAGATTATCCCAGGTTCCAATTAATGAACTTTTATTATATACCCCTTATGCAAAAAAATAAATAAGCCAGTGAATAAAAATAAAGGAGCTTGATGATGCAGTGGCTAAGGTGTTCTGCTGCTACTTGAAAGGTCAGTGGTTTGACCCACCAGCTCGCTGTGGGAGAAAGGTGAAGCAGCCTGCTTCTGTAAAGATTTACAGCTTTGGAAAGCCTATGGGATAGTTCGACTCTGTCCTGTAGGGTTGCTATGAGTTGGAATGGACTCAATAGCAGAGGGTTTTATGTAAAAATGGTGGTGACATCATCTGACCTCCTCTAACTTTGCAATGGAGGAGAATCACCATCAACATCAATAGCCCATGGCTGATTCCTGTGAGACGGAGGTCAGACATCCCTCCTCTGTCCAACCTTTTTACCTATTCTGATGCCAGCCATCCCTCCCACCACACTCTACTTCTCTGCTGGGTTTGATAATTTGTTGCAATGGCCACATGGAACCTGCAGACAATACAATGATGAGGATTATTAGGGAAGTCACGGGCTACAATTCAGGATCAGGAATGACTCAGGTGACTACGGTTCTTTGATCAGGACTGCTTCTCGGCCAAGCCCACAGGCAGGCTTCTTTCTGGCCTTCGGCTCCTCAGCCCCTTGGCTTGGCCCCTGCCTTCCTTGGGCAAGTGATATAAATCTTTAGCTCCACTGATCAGTGCCCAGAGGCATCCCACTCCACCTGTAGGCCTTGGCTTGAAGGCGCCCAGCTCTTCTGCTCTTTGTGTGGCACACCCACTGTAGCTGGCTGGCTCTGTGGGCTGGGAAGCCCACCACCTTGTCTCGTGTTGCTCTGCTGGTTCTACAGCTGTTGTTTCTGTGCTGCGGCTTTCCACTGTCTTGTGCCATCTCCAGTGTTAAAACCCTCCCGCTCTAGCTCCTGGATCTAGGAGGCTGTCAGCTTAGAGACCCCAGGTTCCAAGGATGTGCTCCACTGCTGGTAATGAGGTCCTCCCTTTCTGTCTCTGAAATGGCTCACTTTAAACCTAGAGGGATGGCAAAACTGACTAATCCCCTTGTTAGGGTTCCATACACCTTATTTGCATGGTTCCACCCTCACAATAGTGCCATGGACCTCATTTGAATTATTAGCAAGTTGTCCAATTCCCATGGTGGGCCACAAGCACCTTGTTTTCAGTCATTTGGTGGGATTTACAAGACCATGATGAGACAGACCACTGTAGACATGATCTATCATGCCACACCCTGTCAGCAGCAACCAGGCACAGGGAATTTGGAGTTTCTACTGTGCAACTCACTCACTATAACATTTTTTAATTTAACATGCATACACATAGTAACAGACTAAGAACATGCAAAGGAATCCCACTTACTCATAGTCCCATAGTGTTTTCATAGCTTTGTCTGGTGTACTCATTCCTTTCAAGTTAACTTTTTTTGACTTATTGAATTAGAAAAAGTCATGACAGCACCATGCTCAGGCTCTGAGAGTTGCTAGGGATATTACCTTCCAAACCTGACTCGTTGCCATAACGGTAATTGCAGTACATGTACCTGCCATTTTGTGTTTTATCAATGTTACGCATGTGTCCTTCTGGCTAAGTGTAATCTATCTTCAGTTGCAATATCTTATTCCATTTAAGAGGCCTTACCACAATTTACTTTTTAATATTCCTATCACTGGACATTAAGGTTGTTTTCAATATTTTGCCTGAATAGACTACACAGCAGTAGGCCTTTTTGTGTGGGGAGCTGCTGCTTCTGCTAACTTCTTGTTCTGAGATATGTTTCCAGACATAGGCAGAAACACATTATGCATAGATCTCACAAACTGGCTGGCTGGGGCATGGCAACAAACTTCTCAATGTTGTAAAAAGATGAACATTTTTCTCTGGTTGTTCCATCATTGCATGTGGTAAGACGTTCTCAAATGGCTTTATGTCACCTTAGTGTCCTGTTACTGCCAAGATGGGGAACCCAGCCAAGGAGCTCCTACAGTAGTGGCCTGCTCAGCCAGGACTTAGCCAGACCATCCCTCTGTGTGTGGAGAGGAACGTGGAGTCCTTGTCTGTGAAGCCATGTTGACTTGGGGCTGTTTCAACTATGGAACTGTAAAATGTCCTTCATTAGGATTTCCCAGGAGGGACTCTGGCTTCATGTCAAGCTCTTATAAAGTTTTACAGGCCCTGAAGCCATTTGGTCTCCCTAAACAAGATCATACACAATGCTCCATATGTTTGTGAAGCAAACTTGGCCTTTAATCCCTAGAGTTACGTTCTGGTAAAGGTAGCAGGTAGTGTGATGCTCATTACCTGAGTCAGCCTGATCCCGACATGCAAGCCTGGCCATCAGTTGTTCCCGTACCACGAGTGAGTGAGGAAAACAGCTGACTAGTAGGTGACAGCTAAGCATAGCATTAGTTAAACAAGGCCCAGCCTAGCTGTGGGCAGGTGAAACCAGTTAGAAAAGAAATTCACTGACTGCAGGAATCATGGAGTGGATGGAGTGAGACACAGAAGCAGACTGTCCTTCCCCGAGATCGGGACTTGGCTACTTTCATTTATTTCTACAGGAAGGGCTGGTGGTGACTTGCCTTTGGTGACCTGGTGACCACAAATCAGATTCTCTCTTAGGTTTCCAGATGCATTTGTGACCTTCAGGTCCTTCCGGAGCAAGTTCCCTGAGGTGTCTGGGTATTGTCACTGTGCCGACAGTCAGGGGCGGGAACTGGCAGAGACAGGTAAGCACACCTGAGGTCATCTGGAGGGTGGGATTCACAAGCGACCCTTCCTCTCAATACCCCTAAGGCAGAATGAGCAGCGTCTGCCTGCTCCCCGTCAGGCTGCTGTGGGTGTTGACAAGGACAAGGCCTGAGCAAGCTGCCCTCTGTGGTACTTTGAAGGTGGCTGCTGCCAGCCCTTAGGGTGCCTTTGTGTACGCTGGAAAACAGTGCCCCCTTGTGGGCAGGTGCGGCTGTGAGCGAGGCTGCTTTGCTCGGGGAGCGGAGCCCAGGATGGATTTCAGTCTCCTGTCGCTCTCCAGCAGTGCTCCTTTGGGCTCTGAGCAGCCTGTGCAGTGGTGCCAAGCACCCTGACTTTGGGAACTATTAGAGCAGTGGGCAGACATGATGCCCAGTGATGCTGGTGGAGGCAGCGCCCCCTGTGCTGGCGGTTTGCACAGCATGGTCAGGACTTACGTTCTGAACGAGCCCCCCCTTGAGCCACTGCTGTCTCTGCTCAGGTTTGGAACTGTTACTGGAAGAGATTTACGACACTGTTTTCGCTGGTCTGGATCTTGCTTCCACCTTTGCTGAGACCACCCTGTACCGGATACTGCAGAGACGGTTCCTAGCCATCCAATTAGTCATCTCCGGCAGATTCCGATGTGAGTAGTAAGCTGACGGCAGATGTGCAGGCTTCTGCCAGGGAAGCCGCTTGGATTTCAAAGTCACCGCAGTCTCTGTGGCTGTGCCAGTAAGAGAGAAGGGGCCGCGGAGCTGCTTAATAGCAAACAGCAATTGTAAACAAATCAGGCACTGCGTACTCACTGGCTTCTTTCCCGTGTGGATTTATTGTAGGCCCCACAAAATGTGAAGTGGAACAGTTTACAGCAACCAGCTTTGGTCACCCCTACATTCCAACCTGCAGCCGAAATGGGGACTACCAGGCAGTGCAGTGCCAACAGGGAGGGCCGTGCTGGTGTGTGGACGCCCAGGGAAAGGAGATCCGCGGGACTCGGCGGCAAGGGAGCCGGCCATCTTGTGGTGGGTTCCTCTCAGGTGCTTGTTCTGGGGTCTTGTCAGGTCGTGCTGCTTTAATGGTTTCTCCAGACCAGCCTCTAGCGCTTCCAGCCATTAGCATAGCTGCCTCTCGAGCGTGTCTTCAACATGACTGAACCCCACTTTCTCATCATTCACTTCCGACATGTTTCTCACCCTGCGTCAGACATAGTTTCTTCCTCAGGAAGCCCAGGGCATACTGTGGGGAGTGAAGAAAAGGGAAAGAGCATGAAGGCTTACAGGTGCTATGAGTGAAGTGGGGAGAGGCAATGAAAGGGGTAGTTCTGTCTTACAGCCCATATGAGGAAGAGGCATTCAGGATGCTTCATGGAAAAGGTGACACTAGGTCAGAGCCGTCTGAAATAAGATGTTTCCTGAAGGAGGAAAGTAAGAAAAGGCATGCCCTCTAGAGCAGGACAAATAACATCATCCAGACCCAAATGACAGGCACTGGTTTGCTCATGAGGACTCTGACCCGCCCGAAACATGCAGCAGAAGACACGGCTGCTGGAGGATGATCAGGGTGGGGCGCCGGGAATTGTCACTTGGGGGGAAAGGCAGGGGTGAGACAGTGAGCTCTAGTGTATCATGAGGAAGGTCTGGGGGCTTCGTCCTGGAGGTCACGTGTGGCTGTTGGGAGGTTTTAAGCTGGAGAATGCCATCGTGGGCATTGTGTGTAAGGAAGATCGCCTGGGAGTGTAGGAGGAGAGATTAAAAGGAGTGGTCGTCTAGGGGCAATGGGACCATCTGAAGGTCACTGCAGTGTCTGGAAGAGAGATGAAGGGAACCATCCTAAAGCGGAAGCAGTGGGCTGGGGAGAAGGGCACGGGGAGAGATGTCACTAGCATTCCAGTGACACTGCTTCATCCTGCCAGGAATATTGTGGAGGATGTTAGTGATGAAGAAGGGGGAATCGCAGAGCACTCAGTGGGCTGCCACTTGGTCAACCTGGGTGGAGTCAGTAGGATTTGAAACAGTGGGGGAGGAGGAAAGCCTTTAGAGTGCCAGACAGATAGCTCTGAATGTTCATTCAGTCATTCTTGTTGGATCAGTCAGTTTGTGCAACTTGATGTTTTGAATTTTCTGCATGGTGTTTGGAAGTATTCTGTCTGCTGAATGTTAGGACAAAGAATATGATGAGATCCTGCCTTCAGAGTGTTTGTCGTCGTCTTGGAAATTGAATAGAATAGTTTCAGTTCTGTTAGATAGTACAATAACAACAGAGTATTGGGTCTTCCAGTTCCCAAATGGCAATGAAGAACTATGGTTTTCCAAATTGAAAACAGTAGGTCTACCAAATGCAGGGATCCTGTATTTTTGTCTCTGGCATACTGGTCCTACTTCAGTGGATACAAGTGTCACATGGAAGCAATATCTGAGTTTCTTTGTCTTGGTAACACTGCATAACCAATGGACGGAAGGGACGTGTTCTTAACTTGGAAAGGGAGTGAGCAAAGTAGTAAGCTTTATTTCTTCCATACCTTCCTTTTATATCCATTAAAGGAAGCCATGGCCTTGCTGAGAGATGTGTTATGTGTTCTGATGTTGCCAGTCTTCCCTCTCCACCCCTGAACACATGTTCCAGTTCTTTTTCTGTTGCCTGGTTACAGAGGGAAATTGGCTGACTTCTTTTTTGGAATCCACATGAACAGAGAGGAAAGAATTATTTAAAAAGTATAGGGGAGGTTAGTTGAAAACGTTCTCTAAAGATTTGCAGTTTTATGGAGAAAAATGGAGCTAACTTACTTCCATCTAAGTGACTGAGACTATCACTTTTTTTTTTTTTTTCCACAGTGATTATCTAGAATTTTCAGTTAGTGTAACATGACGGCATGGACTTGACTGTGATCACTGTTTAATTAGTAATTTCAAGGAAAGGTCAAGAAGCCCAGAAGAATGATATTTGTTGAGTGGGCATTATTGATTTTTATGAGAAATACTAATAGTGTTTAAAGTATGGTCCTTATCCTCAAGAACCTCTAATCTAACTATAAACTTGTTAATCTACAAAGAACTATGGTAGCACAATGGTTAAGCACTTGGCTGCTAACCAAGTGTTTGGCAATTTGAATCTACCAACAGCTCTGTAGGAGGAAAGACCTGTCCATCTGCTCTCATAAATATCAAAACCTATGGGAAAGTACTACTCAGTCCTTTAGTGTCATTATTAGTCAGAATTGACTCAACAGCACACAGAACAAGAAAGGTAGTCCACATAAGACTATCCTACAAGGAGGAACTAGGGAGCCGACAGAAGAACAGATAGTTAAGCATTAAAGCCCATTGAGATTTTCAAGAGAAGAATGCTAGAAAACAACATTTCACAAACTACCAATTGGAATTTGTTGGTGAAGGTACTTCCTGGGTGGCACACATTGTTGCGTGCTCGGCTGCTAATGGCAAGGTTGGCAGCTCAAGTCTACCCAGGGGCATCTTGGAAGAAAGGCCTAGTGATCCATTTCTAAAAGAGCACTAACCCCAAAAAACCCACTGCAGTCAAGTCGGACCCAACTCACAGCGACCCCTCCTTGGGTTTCCGAGGCGGTATCTCTACAGAAGTAGATTGCCCAGTCTTCCTTCCAAGGAGTGGCTGGTGGGGTTGAACTGCCAGCCTTCTGGTTAGCAGTCAAATGCCTTAGGCACTATGCTACTACCAATGATAAGCCTATGGGACACAGTTCTACTCTGACACACATGGGATCGCCACGGATCAAAATTGATTCATTGCCAACTGTTTTCCTTGGTCTGTTTCTGTGGTCAGATTTTTAAAAAGTGGGAAACCTTTTGGTGCCGATGATCCTTGCTATAGAAGGGGGAGACAACCTCTAGTGAAAGTGAAGAGGGAATCCTGCCAAATGGGAGATGAACTCACCAAAAAGGCTGTCACAGATGTGGCTCAGAGCGAGAGGAGAAAGGAAAAGGGAAAAACAGATGCAAAATGTGGGTGTTCTTCACGGAGTCTTGACATCATGCTATAAGGAAGGCTTGTTTTATGTTTGCTTGTGATGTTAAAACTATTTCTCCCACTTGCTTTGTCTCCACACAGCTGAAGACCAATCCTGTGTGTCACAAAGGCGGCAGGCCTTGTCCAGACTCTACTTTGGGCCTTCTGGCCACTTCAGCCAGCACAATTTGTTTTTTTCTCCTGAGGAAAGACAGGCTTCTCAGAGAGTGTCTGGATTCTCCACATCTTGCCCACCTCTGTTCAGGGAGCTGCTTATTGACTCTGGCCTTCTCCGCCCCACGGTGGGAGGGCAGGATAAAGAATTCCCTGCCCCACAAAGTCTTCTCAAAGAGGCCATCAGGGCGATATTCCCCTCCAGAGACTTGGCTCGTCTTGCCCTTCGCTTTACCACCAACCCCAAGAGACTCCAGCAAAACCTCTTTGGAGGAAAATTTTTGGTGAATGCTGGCCAGTTTAACTTGTCTGGAGCCCTTGGCACAAGAGGTACATTTAACTTCAGTCAATTTTTCCAGCAACTTGGCTTCCCAAGCTTTAAGAGTAGAGAAGGATTTGTGGACTTAACCAAGCAACTCTCTGTGGGACCTGATTTAAACCTTGCCACAGAAACCCCTGAAGCTTTTGAGAAGGCTATGAAGCTGCCACTTGTAGGCAGCTTTGGCTTCAAAGTTAACTTACAGGAGAACCAAAATGCTCTGAAATTCCTCGCTTCTCTCCTGGAACTTCCAGAATTCCTTCTCTTTTTGCAGCATGCTATTTCTGTGCCAGAGAATGTAGCCCGGGATTTAGGGGATGTGATGGAAATGGTACTCAGCTCCCAGGCCTGTGAGCAGCCACCCAGAAAGCTTTTTGTCCCATCATGCACAGAAGAAGGAAGCTACAAGGATGTCCAGTGCTCTGCTGGGGAGTGCTGGTGTGTGGATTCCTGGGGCAAAGAACTTCCTGGCTCAAGAGTTAGTGGTGGACAACCCAGGTGCCCCACGGAGTGTGAAAGGCAAAGGTCACGAATGCAAAGCCTCATGGGTAGCCAGCCTGCTGGGTCCAGCCTACCTGTCCCTTCTTGCACCAGTGAGGGGCATTTCCTACCTGTTCAGTGCTTCAACTCAGAGTGCCACTGTGTGGACATGCAGGGCCAGGCTATCCCTGGAACTCGAAGCGTAACTGGAGAGCCCAAGCAATGTAAGTACATTGAGCATCCGATTAATTTTGTTATTTTTAGTTGCTATTGAGTTACTTCCAACTCAGGGTGACTCCATGTGTGCAGAGTAGAACTGCTTCAGAGACAGAGAGCTATCTATGGAGCATAGTGCCTATGGCAAACACTGAAATTATGCTCCTGTCCAAACATCTGGCACCCATCTTGTAGATAACGTTACCATAATAGCAGCTTAGAAATATAAGTCAAGCTCATTAATCTTTTACTTAGCACATGATGGCACTACATGAAAATTGCAATTGTACCTTCCTTGCCTTCTCTGATGAAAATTGGTCTGTGAGAGACTCAAAGTCAGTTTTTCAGTTTCTTCTCTTTTTACACTCAGCAAGGCAAGATCACATAGCATGCCTGGACCCAGGCAGGATCTCAAATACAGTGTATGAGTTTTAACTTGCTGAATGGTCTCTCACAGCTGGTGATGGGAACTGAAGTGGTTAATAGACACCGTTCAGTGGTGCTGTTCTTTAGGTGGCTCCCAGGCACGTGCCACCCTTCATACCTTAGATACACCCCTGTCCATAAATAAGGTTTGCAGGGCTGAGACCTTGCAGAAGCAGTCATCAGGCCTGTCTTCTGAGGTACCTCTAGGTGTGTTTCACCCACACACCTTTGGCTTGTAGTTGAACGCTTAACCATTGGCGCCACCCAGGCACTCCATTTCCTCTTTAGACCCTGGGACAAAGTGTTACTGATGAAAATCCCCTTGTGGCTAAAGCCCGAACTTCAGTTAATGGCACCAGCAGCTGATTAATTGTAATAATATCCAAAGAGGTTTGGCTGATGCTGACCACTCTCACGAGTGAGTTAGGGAATGTGTTGGCCTTAAGGATCTGCCACGTGCGTTTCTGCAGCACTGACAACAGCTGCTCTCAATGGTGCTGAGTTAGTGTTGGGGGCTCTTGTCCAGATTTAAGGTTGATGGGAAGTCCGTAGGAGTAGTGGTGGTGCAGTAGTCAAAGCACTCAGCTGCTAACTGAAAGGTTCTCAGTTCAAACCCACCAGCTGCTCCATGGGAAAAAGATGTGGTAGTCCGCTTCTGTAAAGATTACAGCCTTGGGGCAGTTCTCCTCTGTCCTCTAGGAGCACTGTGAGTCCAAATCAGCACCATGATAATGGGTTTTTAAACCATTTAAATTGACACACTGCTCATCATTTCTCCCAGGCCCTACCCGCTGTCAGTTGCAGGCAGAGCAAGCTTTCCTGAGGACGGTCCAGTCCCTGTTCACCAACTCCAGCCTGCCACCTGCTCTCTCCAGCGTCTATGTTCCACAGTGCAGTGCCAATGGGCAGTGGAGACGTGTGCAATGCAGTGGGCCCCCTGAGCAGGTCTTTGAGTGGTACCAACGATGGGCAGCTGAGAACAACAGTGGCCAGGAGCTGGTCCCTGCAGAGCTGCTGAAGATGATCGTGAGCTATAGAGAAGTGGCTTCCAAAAGCTTCCGCCTTTTTATCCGAGGCCTGTACGAGGCTGGCCAGCAAAACGTCTTCCCAGTGCTGGCGAGATACTCTGCTTTCCACGACATTCCATGGGCAGCATTGGAAGGCAACCTGACCCAGCCTGGAGGGAACATCCTCCTGGAGCCCTTCCTCTTCTGGCAGATCCTAAATGGCCAGCTCAGTCGGTACCCGGGGCCCTACTCAGATTTCAGCACTCCTGTGGACCACTTTGAACTTCGAAGCTGCTGGTGTGTGGACGAGGCTGGTCAAGAACTGGAAGGCACTTGGGCTGAGCCAAGCAAGGTGCCAGCGTGTGAGTAAACCCGGGTGCAGAGTGGAATTGTTTTTCTTCAAAAGAGGAGGTCTGACTGGAGGGTATGGAGTGTCAAAGCTGGAACTGAGCTTAGGGATGGCTAGGTGCATCCCTTCATTATCCGGTTGAGTAAACTGGGGTTCACAGAGGGGAAATGACTTCCCCATGGCTACAAAGGGTTGGCAAAGCTAACGTGGTTCATTCTAAAAACTTTCACGTCATCCTTTAAGTTAATGGCGCCCATCTTCATTAGCTGTCCGGTGCGTGCAGAGCTTTCTCTTAGCCCGCTGAAGCCTGTAAAAGTGACGTGGCTCTGGCCCTTGCCCTCGCACAATGAATGCGTTAGGTGCACCTAACACGTTTCATTAATTGGCAAGTATTGAGGGACTATTCTTCTTGCAAAGGACACTGCTTGGTGCTTGGAATCTCTGAATGATTCTGCCTCCAGAGTGCCTTTAATTGACTTGAAGGCCTGAAGTAAGGAACTAATTGGAGAAGGACTCAAGTAGGTCTGTAAGTTGCATTTGTGGTAAATAGGCCTAGGGGCCTGGCTAAATGGACTGACGCTGACTTGATGCGTCTTAGATGACAATGCCTCAATACCAAGCTGTCATGCCAGCAGTGTGAAAGAACAGCCAGACAGATGCCACACTGTTACTGTCAACTCAGACCCCTCCAAGCAGCAACTGCTAATGGTGCAACAGTGGAATCTCTCTGTTCATGTTTGCACTGTTACACATTATCTGAATGTTTTTGCATAATGTGAACATGAGTCATATTATTTTGATCTTAGGGAAAGGTTAAGCAGCAATGAATCTTGAGATTGCTGGGATAGGACCAGGCAATGAGAACAGTAGTATCCTGGGTGTTTGGAATGCTAGGAAACTTAACGCTGCTAGGATTCTCCATTAACTCATCAAGTTCTAGCAGTTGTCTGACTCTCAAAGTCAACATATCAATGTTAGCATGACTGTTACATACTAAGTCTTCTCTTGTTGAGACCTGTAGAATCTTTTGCCATACCTTGTGGTTCTGTCTTGTACACCAGACGTTCCTATACATTTAGATGATTTGTGACCAACTTTGGTCCTTTTGTATGCAATTTGAGAAATCTTCTGGTGGTGCTGTGGTTAAGGTACTGAGCTGCTAACCAAAAGGTCAGTGGTTTGAACCCACCAGCCACTCCATGGAAGAAAGATGAGGCTATCTGCTTCTGTAAAGATTTACAGCTTTAGAAACCCTATGGGGATTACTGTGAGTTGGAATTGACTCAGTGGCAGTGAGTTTGGGTTTTTTTTTTTTTTTTTGGTTTTTACCAAAAGGACTTAATTGCATTAGTGACTAATCTTATTGACTTTTGCCTGAATGCTGGGCAGAGTAGTTGAAGTAGGTTTTAGAGTATATTGGCTTTCCCACTGAGTCACAAAAGGCTGTGTAGAGTAGGTGTCTAAAAAGACCAAAATCCAAACCCACTGCCATCAAGTTGATTCCAACTAATAGCAACCCCAATTGGGTTTCTGAGGTGGTAAATCTTTACAGAAATAGACTATCCAGTCTTCCTTCCTGGTGGTTTTGAATCACCATTCTTCTGGTTGGCAGTCGGATGCCTTAGGCACTATGCTACTAGGGTGTACAGAATCACCCACTGGAGAGCATGCATTAGAACGTCTATCTATGTTAAGTGTTTCATCTCTGCCTTTTAAATTTGTTTCTCTCCTGGTATCTGAAACAATGGAGAAAGCAAAGCTAATCTTTGTCCGCTGTGGCATGCATGCAAGCTGGATAAACAAAGGAATACACACATTTTGGGCTTGCATCTTCAAGCCTTTTGTTGACAGGGTATGTGACCAAAGGACTTGACAGCCATTGGTCCAGAGCCTGGACACTCAACGTGTACCTAGCGGCATGAGCAGCACCTGGGAGCTTATTAGAAATTCAGAATCTCAGGCCCAGCTACTGCCTCGCACCTGCATCTCCAGGCAATCCTAACACAGCCTCCAATTGGCTTAGGGGACAGGGCACTGGCTGGCTTCTGTCCTGGTTCTGCCCCTTACTGCTGTGTGAGCTAGAGAGGGGAAGTCTCTGCATTTCAGCTTTATCTGTAAAACCCAAATTATAACAACTGCCTCAAAGGATTGTTGGGAGAATTTTGAAAGGGGATAGATGCAAAGAGTCAGGCCTGGTATGCAGGAAGTACTTACTTAATGATAGCCGCATTAATATGAAGGCACCCTGGTGGTGCGGCGGTCCAAGCGCTCAGCTGCAAACCAAAAAGTTGGGTTGAACCCACCAGTTGCTCCACAGGAGAAAAATGAGGCAGTCTGCTTCAGTAAAGATTGATATCCTTGGAAACCCTGTGGGGCAGTTCTACTCTGTTCTGTAGGGTCACCATGAGTCAAAATTGACTCAACATCATCGGGGATTAATACAATTGATAGTAAGTGATGGAAGTGACTAGTAACTGCCTACATGTATTCAGGGTGATGGTCACCTCAGTTACCCAGTGCAAGAAGTACTGCAGTGGGTCACTTTAAAGAGCAGAATCTGTCACCTCATAGATCTGAAGACACATACCCTTGAATGAGGCAGAGGGAGATATCCTCAGTGGGTGAATCCACCTGCAATATTTTTATTCCCTCAGGCCCTGGCTCCTGTGAGGAAGCGAAGGTTCGTGTCCTGCAGTTCATTGAGGAAGCAGAAGAAATCATCTCAGCTTCCAACCGCTCTGGCGCCCCTCTGGGAGAGATCTTCCTAGCCTCCAAGGGAATCCAGCTGACCAATGAGGAGCTCTCCCTTTCCCCGACCTTCTCCTTCCGGGAGATGGTCTCTGAGAAGTTTCTGAGTGGGAGTGATTATGCCCTGCACTTGGCGGCCCAGTCCGGTGAGTGCTGTACTTCGGTCTTGTTCCATGTCTTTAGAGCAGTGAAAGCTTGGATTAGTCTCCTTGCTTTCTCCAGGTGATGGTGTTGAGATGCCGGCAAAGCTGGAGTGGAGGTCTGTGGTTGCCTCCTGCGGAGATGAAGATCTCCCCACAAGATTCCCCACATCTCCCAGCAGAGCCGCGCTGGGGCAGGTCCTTGCAATGGTATGCAGACAGATGGTGCCTGCAGCCCGCTGTGAAGCCAAACATTTCCAAATGTGAGGGACCCCAGCCCTAAATGCTTATACACCCTCGTGACCTGGTTCAAAGCTTCCCTCTGTTTCCAGGGATTCAAGGACATCTGCCATGAAGGGGATAAAAGAAGAACCCTCAGTAACTGAGGAACTATTGGAACTCGTAGGTGGTAAATGGTTAACACACTCGGCTGGTAACTGTGAAGTTGGAGGTTTGCGTTCACTCAGTGGTACCTCAGAAAAAGGCCTGGCAATCCACTTCCAAACGAATCTGCCGTTGGAAACCCTGTGGAGTGCAGTTCTGCTCTGACACACATGGGTCACCATCAGTTGGAATTGACTTGATAGCAACCGGTTTTTGTTACGTCTCAGGCATCTTATACACGTGATCTCATCTAATCCTAACTGGCAAGGAGTCTCTCTCCTTCATCTGACAGGAATAACAGAGAACCCACAGTCCTCTCGCCTGAGTCGAGTCCTCTCGACTGTGCTAAGTCGTCTACCAGATTTTCACATTTAATCCCGTGACAGTCCCCTGAGAACTATGTGAGAGTCATCATCTGTGATTACTTACAAATAGGGAAACTGAGCCTGGGGTTATGTCACTTGCCCAAGTTCACTCACTTAGGAAATAACTGGAGCCTGGATGTGAACCCGGGTTTTCCATCCCCCCACTGTCCACCCCATGCTCATATCTACTCTCTGCTCCCTTACCTGGCTGGGCCTGATGTGGCTGCTATCAGAGCCTCTATTTCTCAACCTGGGACCCCTGCTCTTCCTCTACCACCCATACCTGCTCTGGTGGCAATGTCCAGACCCCTCTCATTGACACCACACCCACCTTACGGGACAAGCAGTTCACCTGTCTCTGAGCCAGACCAGAGTTTCCATCCACTGTTGAACTGCTCCATGGATGTCCAGGCTCTGCGCTTCAGTCACAAAACAGCAAAATAGTGCTATGTGTGACAACTTCTGTGTCATGTCAAAGAGGGTGCACTCCAAGCTCTGTGCTCTCGCATTCCTGGGGAGGCTCTACTGGCTTGGGGTCTCAGTTCTCTTTGTTCTCCTGACCCCATGTGAGAAGCTCTCAAGGACCAATTTGTTTTCTGCTTCTCTCCCTCGTCAGACATCTCTTTTGGAGGACAAAGAATCACGTTTTATTCATCTTTATGTCCCCACTGTCTGGCACAGTTCTGACAGAGTGGGTGGAGAGATGGATAGCTGCCGTAGAGTCAGTGCTGACTCATAGTAGTCTCATGTACAACAGAATGAAGCATTGGCCAGTCCTGTGTCATCTCCATGATCACTGGCATGTGTGAGGCCATGGTTGTGGCTACCATGACAGTCATCTCACCTGGCACCTCCCTCACCCTCGTTGGCCCTCTACTTCACCAAACATGGTGCCTTCTTCCAGTGACTCATCTCTGCTGAGGATGTGTCCAAAGCAAGCAAGTAGAACAGTGTTCTGCTGTGATCCATAAGGTTTCATTGGCTATTTTGGAAGTAGAACTCCGAGCCTTGTTTTCTTCCTAGTCTGTCATAGTCTGGAAGCTCTGCTGAAACCTGTCCGCCATGGGTGACCCTGCTGGGATTTGAAATACCAGTGGCATAGCTTCCAGCATCTCAGCACATGCAAGGCACCAAAGTAGGGCAATTTGACAGATGGGTGATGGGACATAGAATAGCCCAGTGAGTATTACACCATTCTTGCTGCTTACTCCCCCTTCTCTTTCATTCTCTCTGTCCCCTCCCCTTCCCTTATGCCCAGGGACCTCCTTTCTCTGTTCCTCAGAAACCTGGGGACTTCTGCTTTAGGCACAAAACCAACTCTTGTAAATTTTGTGCATGGGCAGGATTTGATGCCATGAAAGAGAGAAGTGTGACTGATGGCCCTTTCGTTGTGACCACATTGGTGATGGAGGGACATGTAAGAGGAAGGGAGAGGAAGTTGTCCTGCCATAGAGATTCATCCTTGAGTAGCATGATGATGTTTTCTTCAGAATTTGAGCTAAGGAAGTCTCCCCTAATGAACCACAAGCTCTCATTTTGCATGTCTGAGGCAGCTGAGAAAAGAGGAAGAGACGGGAGAGTAGGGTAGGGCCGCCCATTCGTCAGAATCCCTCATTCATGCTGGTTCAGAGGAGAGGAAGTTCTGTGCTGTGCAGCTCCATGTCCCAGGGAGTCTAGGGGCTGAGGGTGCAGGACAAGGGGAGACTGAGTGCCACTAGGGTCTTCGGCCAACTGAGCATTGGGGCAAGTCTGGGGAGCCTTCTGAGGATGGGGAGGGGCATG